CTGATGGCACGAAATGCGTCGACTTGGTAGTGATGGCTTTACTTTCAAGAAATCGCGAAATTGACCCTGCATAGCGTGCAGCCTCACCTGCAATGCAAACGTGTGCCGATGCCGTATCACGTCTCTCACCTGGCAGAGGGCTAGTCCCCTGTCAGGCAGGCTTCCGTGCTCGTGCAGCTTTTCTTACAGCTTGATGGTTTGCGCCAAGCCAGCGCAACTAGTCTCCGTCTCCGCCGCCCCGCGACCATCTCTCAGTTAACTCGCCAAATCAGAGCTCGCGACCCGAGACCAGCCACGCCTTTACTACACGCGCCCCGGCTTTGTCGCAAGAGACCGACACGCCAGACCGCGCCCAACGTGAACCGCCTCTACATACCTCGCGTAGATATTCTTCAGCCAGGCCGGAACCAATCACGCTCGCAGCAGCCCGTCTACGCAGTCCTCGCGGCGCAAATCAGACAAGATGCCTGACGTAAGTTGCGGCTTGGACATGCCCTCAAAACCATCGCGCAAATGCTAATAACCGCGCAGGTCAAGCGATGGGTCAAGCTCATCACTCACCAGAAGCCCATGTACGTACAATCCGCGCGCAATCGCATGCGCTTGCCCATCTCACGCGTCTACACGTCGCCAGCCGCTAATACACATTCACAGCGCGGAGCCTTCGCCCGTTGAGGGATACCCCATGCGATCATGGAGCATAGAGGTCTGGCTGCTGGACGACCAGGGCAACGAGGTCATGCCCAGCGTCTTCGAGAAGGCCGTCTACAACCTGCATCCTTCATTCGAGAAGAACAAGCACAGTAAGTGCGCCCGACACTGCGCTCAGCAGTATGCCGTCAGCAAGCATTCCCACTAACATGCCAAAAGTCATCAAGAAGCCGCCGTTCCGCATCGATGAGAAGGGTTGGGGTGAGTTCGACATGAGCATTGTCTTGTCCGCTGTTGGCAAGGGCGGCGACCACACCCTAGAGCACGACCTCAACTTCCAGTCGGAGCGTTATGAGGCCAAGCACCAAGTTGTAAGTACCACATACGCGTGCTGTTCATCAGCCAGAACATTGCTAACCCGCCATTGCAGACTTTCCGCAACCCCAAGCCTGAGCTCCTAGCCCTCCTCGCCGAGTCTGGTCCCGCCGAGGCCAACGGCATGCGCAACAAGGACGCCGCCAAGAAGAAGGGCCGGAGAGACAAGAACGTAGACATGGAGAAGCTGGCCGATGGACTGCAGAAGCTGGGTGAGGATGACCTGCTGCACGTCGTCACCTTGGTCCACGACAACAAGACCAGCGAGACGTACACTAAGAATGACGTCGAGAGTAGGTTTCCATCATCTCCCATTGCAAGGCACATGCTAACAAATGATAGATGGTGAGTTCCACGTCGACCTCTACACCCTACCCGATTCCCTAGTCAAGATGCTCTGGGACTTCACGTCCTCGAAAGTCGATTTATAGGTTGTTTCACCATCAGAGGTTCTGTCTTGCGTCGATTCTCGACCCTGAGTGACCAACACAACACGATATCTCGTTCGCACGTCCACGATCCTTTCCAGCATCCTCATGCTCGAGAAACGTAGCAGCATCACGCTCGCTTGCTTCATCCTCGTAGCGGAGGGATCGTGCGGTCCATGTCTCGAGTGCCTGGACAACGTCGAACGAATATTATCACCCCGTGTTTCTGTTCCTGTTTTCTCGTTCTTCATGAGCCTCGGAGTTTTACAAAGGGCAAAAGCTGGGTGGCTATGCATACATGGCAACTTCTTTTGATATTGATTGGCGCTGGGAGGGTTACAGGCTTATTATAGGTGGATATGCATGGGCGAGAAATGAGATTACTTAATTCTTGGTTTGTGCCTTTGTGTGTGCGGACTTGAGGGGTAATGGGTGCGTGGTGATGATTTCTACGGTTGAGACGCCGAAAGGAAGTACGAACAAGAATTGCTGGCTACTTGCTACACGACTCACAACTTCATGACATACATATAGGCTGGCTTTCCACAGGCCGACCACGATTGCTCAACAAGAACACAGTACTGCGCATCGCTACAGAAGTACTGAAAGCCCAGATCAAATCGGGGACACATGTGCAATCAGTCCTCATCGGCACGGCAGCTTCCCACACTTCTACTGACGCGTCTCGAAGCCAATACTAACACGTCTTAGTGCATGGACCCAAGTTCAGGTTCTCAGATCGATGGAATGGCATATTGCAGCTATATGACTTCTCAACGCAGAGTAGAAGAGAGTGTGAGTGATGATGATGATCATCATCATCATCATCATCGAGAATAGCAGCGACAGGCTCGAGGCGCGCTCGTAAGATGGTGACAGAGGGGCTGTCCGCCGGACATATTTCTTGCGGGACATTGTTTTTGGAAAGTTCTCTCACTCTCACTGCATGTCACTGGCGGTTTCCCCTTTTGGTAAAAGAGTAGGAGAATGAAGCGTTCTGGTGTTAAGAAGAAGAGGAGCAGTCTCAGGCAAGATCCAGAGGCTTTTATATGCCGCTTCTTCGTGCTTTTCTTACACATGTGCGTTGATACTTTAAGGTTTGGAGCTGCTCTTTGTCTCAAACTCATGAATTTGTGATTTAGCGGTTTTTGGCATAGCAGAGCTTCTCAGACATTCATCTGTTTTGTTGCTTTTTTTTTGACGGAACAGGCACAGAACCATCGTGATGCCGTCTTTGGTTTTTGAAAGCAGACTTCGTCCACACATCTCAGGAGCCGACAACTGTTTTGAGTAGCTTTGGAAGTCGCGCAGAACACACATTCCCTTTTTGTCGTAAACTTTTGTTCATAGGTTGGCGATAGGAATTTTTTGGTATTCCAAGAATATTCCGGAGAAGTTGGATAGTAGAATGTTGAAGATGGATAGAAGAGTCTTTCATACGGCGTTGCGGCTAGCGCTTTGTTTGGTCTTTGGTGTGTCTTTCGAGGGCAGGAGACTCGCATGGGGGCTGTGTTGGACATTTTGAGGAGGAAAGAAGGCGGAGACCATTGCAGAGCAAGTTGACCGTTTTGAGACTCGGAGGAGACGACAGCCATTGTCTTGTCATCTTGGTTTTTGGGTTCCACAACCATATGTCAATAGTCCGGTAATTTTGGAAAAAAAAAAAACGTTGTAGAAAGGTGTGAAGAGAAGCAAGCCGGAGAGGAAGTAGACAATGTTTTATAGTCCTCCAGTCAGACATGACTTTCGTGGTTACAGTTTTGAGTCTACACAATTCCTCGAAACCAAGTAAGTCGCTACGCCAACGACTTTGGGTCATCCCAGGCTTCTGCGTGTTTTGGACAATACGCGCTGCATGCTTGTGTGCCGGATGCCCGCGCACTGGACATGCATTGAGAAATTGTATGTTTCGGTTACATCCAATGAGAGTTCCTTGTTTTTGGAAAAGTCATAGAAGACATGATGGGGGAGAAAGGACTGGCGAAGAGGCCCACTGTGTTTTTATACCCCTCGAGGAGGGCAGGTCAGAAAGCGTGTATGCAGCATCGCACAGAAGACACAGACACCATGGTCTTCTGGTATAAACTTTTGACAAGTCAGTTCTGGCGATCATGCGTTTCGACGCTCTGAGCTCCAGACTCATACATTGGAGTTTGTGCCCCTTTCAGAACTCCATTCGCATAGTCAACGGTACTTTTGAAGAAATGCCCAAGTCTCGCAAAGGCCGGAGAGGCAGACATCAATCGCCTTTGAACGTGTTTCAGTCGAGTAAAAGAGCACGAGATGCAGATATAGAAACGTATAGGGGTCGGATTTTATTGAACAAGACGAGGCGCGACAGAGGATCGCCATCGATCATGAGGCTGTCTTTTTGACTGCGCAGCCATGCGACGCTGATGTTGGAGTTTGGATAGTCCAGCAGAAAAACTAATAAGGGTGTATCAATGGCAGGTGCTGGCTCGAGAAAACATAGTGCAGCAGCGCATATGTTTGAAGACCGGAAGTGCAGAAACACATATCTACGTTGTATTTCTTTTTGGACAACCAAAACTGGTCATAACCGTGGAAATTCATGGTTTTGAAGGACATGAGAGGAACCATCCGTCTTTTCGGGAAAATGAGGAAGGCATGTTGGTATAAAGGAGAGAAGGCTGAGCAGAGGAAAGGCTGGTCGGAAGCCCGCCATCGATATTTGGTCGCTCTGTTTGTGGCTGCGCAACCATGTAACATGCATGCGAATATTCTGGAAATACCGAACACAATAACGACTATGCCAGCTTTCGACCCGAAGAAATCATAACAACCGTGTGTCGGTGTTTTGAAGATCGGGAGAGCAGAAACACATCGGAACGGCCTGAGCGTTTTTGAACAGCCAGGACTGGTCATTGTGCCGGAAAGTGGAATTTTTGCGAAACATCGGTAGTTTATTTGCATTCTTTTGTAGAACAATGAGGAAGGAGTGTTGGTGTATGAATGAGGCCTGAGTAGAGAGGAGAGCTCGACGGACGACCATGAGGTAGTTGTCTAGAGTGTTTTGTTGTTTTCTGGCTGCGCAACCATGATCTTCTCATCAGGATATTTGAAAAGCCCACTGGGGAGACATATCAGTATGAGTGGCAGCTTTTGACTTGAGAACAGCATGGCCTCTTCGCATGTAGATCTCTGGAGAATTTGGAAGGCGGGAGGACATCATCAGTACCGCCTTCTCTTTTGTTTTTCGACAGCCAGCGGTCATGGAAATGCTTTCTGGAAATTTTGTTTTAAGAATACAGAATGCTTTTGTATGAGAAGAGGATGCTGAGCGAACCTAGAACAGTATTTATACCTGATCGGCGCTTGTAAAATGAACCAAAGTGATATGAGACGAGATGATGCGTATAAGTTCCGTCGCCTTTGGGCACCTCTACATGTAGTCAGCTGGGACACCAAGGATGGATATACACCTTGAGCATTGCTATCACCTGCCCTTTCATCTCCTGAAATCGTACATATACCGACTTTTCTAAACAATACCTGCGATCTTCCTCGATACTACACACCACCCCATCACCTCCGCCTCCTCCGTCCACCCCTCCCGTCCCTTTCTTCATCTTTCTCCGCCGTAGCAAGCAACGACCCATTCCCGCTTTTATCGCCACCAGAACTCCCCCCACCACCAAGCCACGACGCTACCGTAGCCGTAAGTTCATCCCTCTTCTGCTTCCTCTCTTCCATCACCGACTGCCGTTGCTGCGTCACCGTTCTAAATCCCGGCTGCCGTTGCATAACCGTCCTAAACCTCGCAAACCGTTTACCTTTCTGCAACGCAGGGACAGTCTGATTCCGCACCGCCCGGCGTCCAGATGGGTAGCGTACAACGTGCACAGGCTGACTGACGCGTCGGATGCGCCTGCGCCGCCGGTCTTGCACGGTGCGCGAATTGGCGTTGATCAATTTGCGAAGGTCATGTTTACGCTGCCGGATGAGAGCTTTGATACTCCTGACGCGCTTCTTGAAGGCTCGCATCATGGATATCGATGTCCGGCGCGCTTTGTATGCCGTGTCTAGGAGGACTTTGGGTGAGGTGTCGGGCTTCAAAGATACAATTGTAGTGTCGCGGCCCCATCGGCGCAGGTGTCGCCATTGCGTTTGCTGGGTGCGTTGCCGTTGGTGTTGTTGTTTGCGTTGCTGGATGGTAGTCATTATGGTACGTGCTTCCTCCGTCAGACGGAGGATGTCTTGAACGGCGTATCCTAGTGTTTGGTTGAAGGCTTGGGCTGTTGCTAGTTTTGAGACAGGCATTCTGCGGATGTGTGGTTTGGTGTGTTGAATTGCAGCCATGATAGCTCTCGCCTCTTCCGTCAGGCGGGAGACTTCAGAGACCGCAGGTTTGAGTTTCTCGTTGATCTCGACCGCTGTAGACATTCCGTAGGAGGTAAACTTGCGGATTGGCGCACCCGTCGCTGTAGGCGATATCGCGTTCGTCTTGTCCTTTTTTCTGGCACGATTTTCTTTCTGTGCCGCTCTTTCAGCCTTTTGTGCCCTCTTCTTCTCCCTCTTCTCTGCGTTCCTCTCTAGCCTCTCCTCCTTTGACCTCTCTCTCTCCTTAGCTGGAATCCTTCTCACAAGTTTGCGATTGATGTCGTCCAAGACGGAATCAGCCTCTTCCATCAGCTCCGCTGCATCAACCATAAGCGTCCTGAACCTCACAGCCATCAATAGACAGTGCCGATGTCGAATTCCTGACATGACAGCTATATACTTCGTCTTCTGTTTATCGAAGAGCGACTCGAATCTGCGCGATATTGCGTTCGCTGTCCGAACACGGAGCCGACCGGAAGTAGGTTGGCCTTCTATCTTGAGCTTGCGAACCAGTTCCGCTACTGTTAGTCTTGGAGGGGTCCGCGATTGCTCTTCTTGCTGAGATGGAGACGTGCTGGCTACTTTCAGAGTTGACAGATTGTGAGTCGGCACCTGCGTATGAATGGATGGCACAGATTTCGGTGTATTTGGCTCATGTTTTGACTACCTGGGCTATCAGAACACATTCATGGGAAGGTCGAGTCCACATCAGGCTCACCTACGTCCTCGTCCTCGTTCTTGTCATCAGGCGTAGCTCCATTCTTACGTATCGTCCGGAAACGAGAAAAGGGAACATCGACCGTAGTAGTGACGCTGTGGAGCATGCCTTCGTCTACCCGAGAGTGCTGTGTAAGCGTCATCGCTCCTTCACTCAGTGCACCAAAGCCAGGAAGACACAATATCTTGTCTCCTTTGGTCTGACTGTCTTGCGACAACGCCCCGGGTATCGAGTCCACAGTGCTAGGAATTGTGCCCACCTCCCAGCCCCAATTAATCTTTTTCCCAAATGCAGCCCATCTGATCATCCCTCTGCGACCGGACTTTTGAGCCAACTGTTCGAGATCTGATTTCGGAGAGATGAAGAACTGTATCGAGTCACCGTCTCGCACCACGGGCGTAAGAGTTGACTCAAAGTTTTGGGGATCACTGATCATGCTGAGAAAATCGTCATCCTTTGGTGGGTCTGCCGCTGGACTGGCCGCTGCAGGATCCAACGATAACAAGCCAGCTTTCTTCCCCCATCCGCCTCCACCACTCAAGACTCGATGGAGACGTGCTCCTTCAGTAAGTGCTTGCGACACCAGCGTGTTATAGAGAGGGGGATCGCTGCGCCATAGACGCTCCCATGCATTTGTATGCTCGGAGACCGAACTCTGATTGTCTGTTGGCAAGCCAGAGAGGATTTCATCTGTTCGAGCGGCAATGATGGCCCTCAGCTCATCGGGTATCACTAATGCCCAAGCTACAGTCGCTTGCGCAGGCTGTCCTCGCGATTTGAAGAATCTGGGAACAACATTTTCAAGTTCCGACGAGGCCTGTAGAGATTTACCACCAGGCCCGATAACCCTGCGGATGATGTTGCCCATGCAGCCGTTGACTGTGCGGGGCATTGTGAGTGGAATTAACGGAACGTGGAGAGCGGGAGTAGAGTCTTTCTGTTGCTTGACTAAGCGGATTCCATGATGAGAAACGTTGGTCTTGGATACAGGGGTCATTTGACGATTCGCATCCAGGGTCCAAGTCGATAGGATCATGGTGGATGGCGTACCTGTCTGGAAGACAGTATTCGCAAGAGGCAACCGCAAAGTGTCGCGGTAGACGGTGTCCTTAACATTGTGCTCGGCAAATATGAAATCGATAGCGCTCTTGTCCAATGGCGATAGTTCTTGGGACGGTACAGAAGTATCGGACGGAAGAATCGCGTAGGATATTCCTTCGAACCCGGCGCCAGCAAGAGGCGGCTGAGTAGGGTTCTTCTCCCCTACCCTGCTGACGGGGAGTTTGTCTACGACAGCACACAGTGCATCTATGTGTAGGTCCGGTATGTCGGCCGCATTTTCGTAAGCGCGCAGAAGAGCGTTGCGGAGGAAAGCGTCATCGTCCAGCAAATAGTGCGCATACGAAGGCGTGACGAAGAAGACACAGAAGGTCCTTTGACGGGCGACGTCCAGTGGTGGAGGAGCGATGTGCTTAACAAGATCGTGTGGCTGGAGACATATTAGCATGTGGCAGCGGTCTGTAGCATTCTACTTACATGGGAATCCACAGAAGGTGGTACAATTATGCCACAGTGCCGATGAACGGGCGCGTGATATGCTCTGAATTGATCGAAGTTTGCGCGTCTATTCGGTATGACTGAGGGACAGCGCAGGGGACGAGCGGCGGCAGCGGCGCGCCTCAAGAGTGGCCATTGTCGCGCAACCAGTAGAGGCATTTGTCGAAGCTCAATTGACCATAGTGAAGCATGGACGTGGTGTTGAAGATGCAGGCACAGGTGGTCATGACGCACCATCCGCAGCTAGCAGATCGCACTACCCGAGATGCCTGCAGGGCCTGGAGACGAGATGCGTACGTAAGCAGAGCCGCATCTCGCGACAACGGGCGTGGTAGCATGGCAAGCACTCCTGTCACCTGCCAGCCCGAGCATTGAGCCTGTCAACCGACGCGTCTATACTCCCTGGAAGCCCTCCGGACGCTTGCCATCCACTCGGGCGCCTGCACACGCCCTTGACACTTTTTGGAGCGCCGACCAGGCCACGTCTCGCACACACCTCCTTGCGCCGACCCACGCCCGCACCATCACCACCGCCTGCCTCTGCTTCTGATGCGCCCTTCATAGACCCCTCCCATTTGGCAGCCGCGGTTCGCCTTCCTTCCTAATCGTCCACCCACCATGTCACGCTCGTTTCGACGCTCGAATCCGATCACCATAATCCTCGCGGGCATCCTCTGCATCGGCTTCTTCGTCTTCTTCTTCTCTGGGACCGATGTGCCATCCATTACCAGAAAAGGAGGGGGAGAGGTAGCCTCGAACCCCCTCTCGCCACCCTCGCTACCGTTCCGCAAGTCCAAGGCGAATGCTCCACAGGCCGCGCCGCCCGTCGTACATTACTATATGAACAACGTGACCAACACGCGCACGCCAATCGAAAACGAGGAGACGGTCCTTATCCTCACCCCATTGGCCAAGTTCTACCAAGAATACTGGGACAACCTGCTCAAGCTCAACTACCCACACAACCTCATCTCCCTGGGCTTCATAATACCAAAGACAAAAGAGGGCAATGCCGCATACGCAGCGCTACAGGCGCAAGTCACCAAGACGCAAACTGGATCCAAGAAGAATCGCTTCTCCGCCATTACCATCCTCCGCCAGGACACCGAGTCCCCCCTCCAGTCGCAAACCGAAGCCGAGCGTCACAAGATGGAGAATCAGAAGGCGCGACGCGCAGCCATGGCCAAGGCGCGCAATTCGCTCCTGTTCACAACGCTAGGTCCCACAACCTCGTGGGTCCTTTGGATGGACGCAGACATCGTCGAGACACCACCCACTCTGATCCAGGATCTGGCCGATTACGACGTGCCCATCATCGTCCCTAACTGCTTCCAGAGATACTACAATGAAGATAAGAAGAGCATGGACATTCGGGAATACGACTTCAACAACTGGATCGACAGCCCCACAGCCAAGGACCTTGCTGCTAAGATGGGCAAGGACGACATTCTGCTCGAAGGCTACGCCGAGATGGCTACATACCGTAGCCTCATGGCTAAGATGCACGACACATCGGCGGATCCCAAGGCAAAGATCAAGCTCGACGGAGTCGGCGGCGCTACTTTGCTCGTCAAGGCGGAGGTACACCGAGACGGCGCCATGTTCCCACCGTTTGCCTTTTACAACCTCATTGAGACGGAAGGTTTCGCCAAGATGGCAAACCGGCTGAACTGGGAAAGTTTTGGACTGCCAAACTACCTTGTAAGTCATTTTCCGTCCTGTCACACAGACATTGCTTGCTAACATTGGTCTTAGGTGTACCACTACAACGAGTAAGAAGACCCGAGGCGATGTACAATCTATTTGCAGACTGCTTCCTTTGGCGGTCTTGGGCGGCGTTTGAGAGGGGGTTTCCGACTGCCACACTGTTGATATCATGAGCATTGCATGTACGAAAATAGTCATGTATTAGGGGTATAGAAGGCTTGCTGGCAAGAGATATACCAGCATTATCTTTGAATTGGATTACGAAAGTTTCTACTGCAACATTTTGAGTTACTGAGCGATCAGCATTGCGGCATGAATGAGTATCCATATATCCAAGATGTTTCCAAGCGTTTAGCCTCGACTATGTGGGCTGCGGAGCACGCTTCGTTCCAATAGGCCAGTGGCAGATGCGGGTCTTGCGTGACGACCAGGCGCAATCACGCTACGCCCATCTTTGGATCTAACATGCCTAATCAAGAGACTCTACAAGCATCTGAATATTGAGGCCGCATGCATCGACAGACGCATGCGACACTGAACCCCGCGGGGAACGGATCGTCGCGTGCCAGAGCTCCGGTACCTCGCCCGATCCACCTCGGTGCGGGATGACATGACGCTTCCCACGGCATTCCCTCGACCGTACCATAACTATTCCCACGACTGAAGCTGTACGGCACGACCGGAACATTTCACACTACCTCCAGCGACCAGTTTCTTAAACAATCCAAACCGGAAAGAGAAGGAAACCATGGCCGAAATCGCCGGCCCCCGTAAACGCACCTCCGAACGCGACGCCCTCCCACCACGAACCCACAGCGGCGCCTCGGAAACTTCACCTATAGTAACGAATTCGCAATCTCACACCAAAGATTACAACTCAATATCCCCTGATATCCGCGCACGCGACCACTCCACCTCCAGCAACAACTCAACCACCACCATCATGAAACCCGCGAACCCATCCCAAGACCACAACGGCGCGTCCTCCATACCGCAAGGGCCCTCCGCTACGGATTCAGGTGCGCCACAGGAAGGCACAGCAGGCACGTTGCAACCTGCCGTCGACCAGCGCCGACTAAACGGCCATGCGAGTGTAGACCACCGCGCGAGGAGTGCAGAGCGAGAAGCAGCAGCGGTGGAACAGCGGGAGAAAGGGTGGTGGAGCGCGTTTTGGGAGAAGTACGGAAGTGTTGAGTTGGATAATAAGGGGAGTGTTGCTAGGGATCATTTGGCGCTTGGTAAGAACAATCCGTTCCTCCCGACTGCCTCCTGTGGATGTGAATGGAGGAAGATGGGAACGGTAATACTGACATGATACATAGAACGTACCTTCCTAGCCTGGCTCCGTACATCCCTCTCCTTTGCCTCGATCGGCATAGCGATAACGCAACTCTTCCGACTAAACACATCGATAGCGAATTCGCCGGATTCATCTTCTACAACCTCTCCACAAGCGAAATTGCGGCATTTGGGGAAACCGCTGGGCGCGACGTTTATTGGTATTGCTATTCTCATGCTTTTGATAGGGTTTCATCGGTATTTCGAGGCGCAGCATTACGTTATACGGGGCAAGTTTCCCGCGTCGAGAGGCAGCATCATCATCGTTAGCGCCATAGCGGGCGCGTTGATAGCGAGTTCACTCATCATCATAGTGGTTACGGCGCCGGGGGCGTTTGAGACTTGAAAAGAGAAGACTTAGTTTACTTTGCTAAGCTTGGGTATCTTTGATTCATTTCCATCGTACGTGATTCTTTTATCTCTTCATAGGAGTCAACGGCTGCGTTGCCCCTGTCATGTGTTCGCTATCGCTCAAAAGCTTTGTTCCCCCACACATGGTCCATGAATTTCGTCCTAGCCTCTCATCTCCTCCGTTGTCTTGCCCGCTCGCGACGACTTGATGACACCCTGAATCAGCTCTTCGACAGCGTCCCAGTCCGATGTGTCGATGGGAACTAGGTCCGTCTTGAAGTAGCTCGCGATGTAGTTCAGCTGTGTCCAGCTGTTCTTGTCGTGTACGAAAGTAAGGGCGACACCGACACGTCCAAAACGACCGGTACGACCAATGCGGTGGAGGTATGTCTCGGGGTCTGCGTCCACTCCATTTGCCATGGTCGGGACGTCCTGGTAGAACAGTTAGTACCCCTTGTAGATATTCTTTTGAACCATAACTTACGTAGTTGATAACCATAGTGACTGACTGCACATCGATACCACGGGCGAGAACGTTGGTGGTGATGAGGACCTTGGCCTCTCCGGAGCGGAACTGGTCGATGATGCGATCACGCTCAGGGCCTTCCAGGGCACCACTGAGTTGCGCAACCTTGTGGCCTTCCGCAACCATGCGCTTCTCGAGCTCCTCGGCAGTCCTTCTGGTCCTGACGAAGATGATGGACGAGGCTTGTGTCATCAGACCGTAGAACTTGAGCAATGTCGCGTACTTGTCATTGTCCTTGTCGATATCAATGTACAGCTGCTTGATACCCTCGATGGTCAACTCCTCGTGCGCTAGAGTAATTGTATTTGCGTTGGGTGCGAAGCGCTTGGCGTATGCAATGACCGTGGGTGGGAAGGTAGCGGAGAATAGGACCGTCTGGATGTCCTTGTTCAAGAGTGACTTGACGCGAGTGCATTGCTCGCCCATGCCCTGCTGATCCAACATGTTGTCGGCCTCGTCCAAAACCAGAATCTTGATGTTCTTTGGGTTGATAAGACGCCGCCTCAGCATGTCCTGAACAGTTCCCGGTGTGCCGACGAGAATCTGTGCATTGAACTGTTGTCCCCTTCGCGAGGGGTCGGGAATGGCAGCCATAGTCTTGAGGCCGTCCATGAACTGACCCATGTGTGTAATGACACCAAGAATCTGACGGGCGAGTTCTCGGCTAGGCGCGAGTGCCAGCGCTTGCGGCTCGGGGTTCGAAAGGTCGACGCGAGACAGGATGTTGAGCGAGAAGGCGGCAGTCTTACCAGTTCCGGATTGTGACTGCGCGATCATGTTGGTGGGCGGGTTCATCAGAAGCAGAGGCAAGGCTTTCTCTTGAACTTTGGATGGCTGGGTGAAGTTCATGCTGCGAATGCCCTTGAGGAGTTCCTCGGAGCTGACATTGTTAGTTGGCCCGGTGGGTGAGCGCAGTCCACTTACAGATTAAGCTCCTCAAACGACTTCACGGAGTACAGCGGGTTGTTGGGGTCTGCCTGCAGGTCGGCGAGCTTGACCTCGACATTGAACTTAGGCTCAGCCAGAGC